CTCGGCCTTTCAAATAACACATTTCTGTGGTAAAATTTTCGACAAAGCAAAGTTGTATTTGCTATGGCATCCGATTACGGTACTTATCTATTTTTATAGTTTGACTTTCTATACAACCACTAGATCATTACGAGTAGATGTAATTACCCTATTTCATTTGAAATGTCACTTATTTTCTAAACGACCTGATTTTTTTAACTTTCAAAAATTCTTGAATTAGAACTTTGTTTTCGGCAAGCACTTACTTGCTTAGTCGGTCTAACGTGCCTTAAATGTTACATCTGCCCTGTGACCCACTGGAACACATCGGCATGATACTCAAGCCTCGGTTTCAAATAAATTTATGGGCGTTTATATGACCAGCTGAGACGAGGTCGAAACTACCTTCAACTCCAGAGTAGATGAGAAAGCTTGTTGGGGCAAGCAAGGCAAAATGTGAAATTCAATCTAATTGTGGGAAAAATTGGCCACTAGTCCTTAAATCAACATAAGCGACATAGAGTGACAAATTTTCGTCAAGTTTTTCAAACCTAGGAGCATCCAATAAAAAACCTTATACTGCTGTGAAACAAAGCTGTTACTGACTATAAATTCAGTAGTAATTCAAATTTAATGGCAAACCAGGGTTGTCAGCCACTTCAAAATTAAACACGGAGACTAAATAGTAGTGTGTTCCAGATACATATTCAACGGTTAGAGTCTCGCAGGAGCTTGGATAAAACGATAAAGCAAGTATAAAATGTGGTCCACAATATGCAAATTATGCAGAGTAAAATTTAACAACAAATCAGTTTTTTCCCATATTCGACGTATGCAAAACGAATCGAATCAAATACTTTTGATTGAAGCGACATAAAAGGGTTACTGGATCCCTTATCATGTTTCTAGGAGAAAAGGTATCTACGAGAGTAATACCGTTATTCGACAAAAATAATATTTGCAAGATAAATAAAAGTGCACTTACGTCACTTTGTGCAGATGAAGAAAGAGTATAAGGGGGTAGTCGGATGCCACAAATGCGGTCTCGTGAATGGCGTTTAGAACCTCCTAAATAACAGCAAAAATGAACATACATACAAAATTTGGTATAGAGACTGACAACAAAATGGGTCAAAACATAAGCAAAAGCTCATATTGTTTCCCACTCAAAATCTTCAATGGCTATCCTTCCTCACTCAGGCCTAATCCTAAGCTTCGTTACGATAGAAGATAATAGCTAAGATCGGCCTTGGTCTTGGTACACTCCAAGTGAATGCAGGCATGTATGCACGTATGCATGTATATATGTATCTGTGTATGTATGCATTTGTGTATAAATTTATGTATTTACGTATTTATGCACGTGTGCATCTACATATGTATGTATGTATGCGTGCATGTTTGGGGATGTACTAAGTTCACGATCTAATGCTGGAAATTATCATGGCTATTATGACATAGGACGTCAGAAAAGATTAGCTCATTTAGGCCTCTCTGACTAAATCGTCTGTTGAAACGCTGAGCCACATTTCCGTTTAAGGCCCAGTTGTATGAAGTCTGTATGGCTGCGGCTCACTTTGACACCGGCAAAGCACCAATGGACTGGAGTGCCGGTATTGAAAGTCGTGGGCCTGGCCTGGCTCGGCTCCTCCGGCTTCGAGGTGTGTCTCGAACCGGCAGAGTTCAGGTCCCAGGAGGGGCGGCGGTTGGCATGTGTCTGGACTGGCGCCAGGGCTGAAGGAGAGCAGGCTTCGCGACACTTCAGCCACGGGTCGCTTGGCGCGATCAAAAGGCTGAAGTCTGAGCGCCGGTAGCCCAACTCCAGATGCACGGGGAGGCTAGGCGTCGGTGTTGACCAGCAGTCGAGGAAGAGGGAGCTGAAACAGGGTCAAATAGAAAGCCAGAAAGAGGTCAGATTTAGTCATGCTCTCGATCAGTCCTTCGTCATCACTGCAGAGACTTCTGTAGAATGGCCGATTTTTCTCCTAGTCCTTAATACTATTCTCGACCTGTTGACAATCAAACGTCAGTAATGTATAATTAATAAGTATAGTAAATATGGATAGTGTTGGTTCGCCCTCGTACCTAGTCCTGTGTCCTTTGCCATAGTCCTCGTGATTTTCAGCATCAAAGCATTGGCTTGGAACATTCCCAAACGTTTCGCCGGC